GGTGCTATTGGTTGAGGTCAGACTCAGGGGGTGCTGTCGAGCTATCGGATTATAGGAAAAGTCTCTCCCAGTTTCCGCAAGGACATCCCAAAGGTCCCCACATTTGGTACCACAGTGGTGGGATAAGTAGACACCCTCACTTGTTGTTGTGTGCCTTCAAGTTGTTTCTAACTTGTGGCAACCCTATGGCAGACCTATCACAGGGTTTTCTTGGCAAGATTTCATAGAATCATAGAGTTGGAAGAAACCACAAGGGCCAGCCAGTCCAACCCCCTGCCATGCAGGAACTCAAAATCAAAGCATCCCCGATAGATGGCCATTCAGCCTCTGTTTAAAGACCTCCAAAGAAGAAGACTCCACCACAAGGAAGTGTGTTCCACTATTGAACAGCTCTTACTATCAGGACGTTCCTCCTAATGTTGAGGTGGAATCTCTTTTCTTGCATCTTGCATCCATTGTCTTGGGTCCTATTCTCTGGAGCAGCAGAAAACAAACTTGTTCAGAGGAAATTTGCCATTGCCTTCCCTGAGGCTGAGACAGTATGACCTGCCCAAGGTCACCCAGAGGGTTTCACGGCCAAGCTAGAAATCGGACCCGGGACTTCAAAGTTGTAGCCCAGTGTTCAAACCATGACCCCACACTGGCTCTAGAGAAGTCCTTTACACAAGTATCTAATCTCCACAGAGCCAACTGAATACAGTATAAAAGCTGGGAAGAGGAAAAGACTAAAGATCTCTTGACAGCCATTGTTCTTTTCTTAAAAGCAGGCTATTTTTAATCTAGTTTTACTTTTCAAATTGTAAAAAAAAAATTCCCAGAAGCTATTACTTAGGTGTCCACTACAATTGCTGGTTGGCTATAGCTGCTCATTTGATCAGTGGGTCACAAGATGCTCTTAGCCATTTGGTTCTGTCAACAGAACAGCCAGAGAATTTTTAAAGAGCTCTCCTCCTCTCCTCACTCTTTAAATTGGGTCCATTTTCTGCACCTCTTTTGTTCTTTCCTCCCTTCCTTGTGATCAGAGATAAAGCAGTTTGTATGGATTTAAACAGGTTGTATGGGCATCACCCAATAAACTACTATTAATTGTAATGGATGTTATTTTTCTGGTTTGTTTCTTCTTCCAACACCATTTCCCTGATAGCATTTCCATTTTCCTTTCTTGCATGGGGGAGGATTCACTCCAGGAAAGGGTTAAGCATGGGGCAGCAAAGGGCAGGCAATTGGTCAGCCTTTTATTTTCTCTGGTCCTTCAGCAAAGGTTAGTTGAGGTCACCAAAAGCCAAAGGGTAATTACTTTTCCTCCACAGGGTTAAAGTCACAGATTGCAATGGGGACAACTGTATGGATGACCTTCAGCTCTGTTCAATCTTCTTTTCTTTTAAACAGAGTAAATAGCAATAAGCATGGTGGAGCAGATAAAGAGCCAGGAGAGCTAGATACAGGCGGCCCTGGCACTCTTTTTCAGGACACCACCATCTATTAACTTCATCTACAAAGAAAGAATAATAATAATTGAATGGAAACCTAGTCCGAGGTGCATTTCAGTACCAGAAATAGAAATGGTTTCAGAATGTGTAATTTCTGCACCCCCTCAAAAAGGTGGACCTATTTTTATTACTACTTTATATCACTATCTATATAATAATCCTAAACCTGGTTTATATAACCATATATGAACAGTTGAGACATATATGAGCATTGTGTATGCTTGCCCTACCAATATATAGAATCATAGATTTAGAAGGGACCTCAGAGGTCATATACTCCAGCCTACTGAAACTGGAAACCTGCAGCTAGCTAGGGGACATTCTCTAGAGAAGGAGATCTTATCACCGCCAAGGTAGTGGTGTACTGTACATTTTACCTTTTAATTATGTTTTAAATGTGTCCTAAACTATTTTAACTATGTCCACACTGATGAGAAAACTCAAGGCTTCTGGATCTATGGGGATCAACCCTAAGGCAATCCTATCAGAGGATTTTCTTGGTGAGATTTGTTCAGAGACATTTGTTGCTATTGTCTTCCTCTGAGGCCGAGAGAGTATGACTTGTCCAAGGTCACCCAGTGGGTTTCCACGACCAAGCGGGGATTCTAACCCTGGCCTCCAGATTCACAGTCCAGTGCTCAAACCACTAGAACACACTGGCTAGCCTATATCATATGCCCAGCATAAAAGTATTGTCTTCTTCCCATGAGTTTCTGAATCAGAAGCATCATGCCCAAGGCTTAGAAATGTTACTTTTTGAACAACAGCTCCCAGAATGGACCATGGAAGATTTGGGGAGTTGTAGTCCAGCATAGCGTAGTGGTTTGGGTGTTGGACCTGATTCTGGAGACTAGGGTTTGTACCCCCACTTGACCATGGAAACCCACTAGGTAACCTTGGACAAGTCACATTCTCTTAGCCTCAGAGGAAGGCATGGGCAAAAACCCCTCTGAACAAAGCTCACCAAGAAAACCCTGCGATAGGTTCACCTTAGGGTTATCATAGGTCAGAAAGGAGTTGAAGACACACAACGACAAGAACAAAGTCCCCAAGTACAACTTAAAAAGAGGATACCTTATGATGTACACTTTATATACTACATAGTACGTTGTTTGACCCTTATCATTTTCCTCCATAGAAAGAACGAAAAAGGGAGGGAGGGAGGATCCTTGTTTGTTTTTATCAAACTGAGATTTTACTCACTTTCAAGGCTGGTTTTTTTTGCATATTTCTCTAACTGCATAAAATTTAAGACTGTGAAAAATATCACTCCATCTCATGCTCCAGAGCAACTGATACCAAAGGCATACTGCCACTGATACTCTGGCTTCCACAGTCAATTGAAGAGCCGATTCTATATACCCTGTTTGCCTGTTAGCATCATTGACTCTCTCAGATCCATTGAGACTCTCAGATAGGACATTGCAGAGCTGATTCAAGACCCCCAGTTCTTGAGGGACACCATAATTTTGAATCATTACAAAGAAACACCCTCTGGGTCTTTCCTCACTTAATATTATGCCCCCCTTTCTAGGGGGCATCTAATCATTCAGATGGTGGTTCACTCAAAGGCAAAATGAATCACATACCACTATGTTGTGGTTTCAGCTCTTAATTTTTATTTATAACCTTGGTCTTGTCCAAATCATGTGGTTGGGATGAAGGTCAAATTATGGTTGCGGAGGTGGAGATTGTGTGTGTGTGTGTAAATCACAGTTCAGTACCCTAACAGACCTCCTGCTCAGCCCAACAGATTCTTGGACTCAGCGGAAGTTATAAATACTGATAAAGGCAGCAAATGGAAGATATAGTATACAATCAATTTCACTTGCTCTAGATTGCAGAATAATGCATCACTTATAGACTTGGTTGTAGAGAGTGATGCATGGAAATTATTGAGTGACCACTCTGCCATTTTCCCTGCCAGAAAAGGTGGTGGGCAAACAGTTACTCATAAAGAATAAATGATCAATTCTTTAGCCTTGTCTTACTGTGCTGTATACAAGTCCTCTTGGGTGCCTGCCAGTGACTTATTGGAAGCTTTAATCTGCAAAACAAGTTCCACATTAGGCACTTTGGCATTTGGGGTGGAATATTAACCATGTCCTATGTTGAATAAGCACCATACTTTTCAACCTATTTGATGCAAGAAGGTTCCATATTTTCTGCCCCATTTTTTCTGGCAGCTGCCCATAGTCAGGTACTGTTCCCTTTTGGCTCTTATTTTTGCCTCAGGGAATGGCTTGATAAAATGTTGGCAGTGTATGTTGCTGATGTTGTGTCACTTGTGTAGGTTCTTCTTCCACCCACGCACCCAGCCATTTCTCCTTATCAATAAAAGCAGGGCCAACTCTGCCATTCAATGTAGTGAGGAGGCTGCCTCAGATGGCAGAGTACCAAGACAAGCAGATCTGCAGCTTTTCCAACCAAGGAAATCACATCGTCCAATAATTCACAGACAAAAATGGGGACATGTAGCCAAGCAACATCACAGCATGGTCAGGATGGAAAGTATTATTGATGAGGAAGAACACACAAGCTAGAAGAGGCTTCAGCAGTTTGGTTTTGCCTGAGCCTACTGGGATGGGCAAGACTCT